GCTATTTTCAGATAGTAGTCAAACAGGTAGCAGGATCTACATCTTGGATTATCCGTATAAGGCTTGATGGTGATAAAGGAAAGCATAATCATGCTTTGGTTGTATATGCTGAGGGTCATTGACAGATGAGCGGACTTAGCGCTTCATCTAAAGATATTATATATGGCTGCTGCTCAGGAAAAAATGACAGTAATTTTGGTTGTGATCCAGGATAAAAGCCCGACAGACAATGCTACTCGATGACATGTGTATAACTATAGGGATAAAATTGCGGAGAGATGGTTTTGAGAATAGAGATGTGACTACCCAGATTCTGCATTTAGCTTCGGATAGGAATTATATAGTTTTTACAGATGTTGATGAGGACACAAGCGTTGACACATCTGTTCATGTCGCATTCTCAAGCGGTCAATCTATTTCGGACATTATACTGGTTGGACTTTGGATTAGTTGACTCTTATTTTTTTCTTTGCCGCTGAAGGCCGAGAATTGGATGGCAGGGTGAGAGTTAATTTCAATTTGGTTACTCTTCATTTCCTTGGAGTGAACTACGTGGCATGATTTGAGTGGATGGGGAAAATAATTTATTTTCATGTTGGGACTTGGCATTAGTGGATGGGACTTGAAAACTATTAATTTCCTATATGTTGTTTGAGAGATGGAAGGCTGTGAGTTATTTTAGAGAGCAATTGGAGGAGAAATTTGTTATGAAGTAATAGAATAATGTATGTAAATGGCTGTTTTATCTTTGATGTAATTGTATTATTACGATTGTGCTATCAGAAGTTTTCTATAAATAAGAGCTTCGGTTATAATAAAAATCGTACCAAGAGAATACATTTTCTCTATTCTCTCTCTTTTTCCTCTAGTTTTATAACACGTTATCAGCACGAGTCTCTGCCCTCTAGAGCTCGATTTGTAATATGACGAAAGTATGCTCTACAGTTGCGTCTTATAGACGATCCTCTATATCAGAAATCGGATTATTAATTTTGTTCTTTACTCGAATTAATTCGCCATACCAGATGTCTGAATATTTTTCTTTCTTTTATCACGGTAAGTTTTATTACTTTATTTCGAGTCTCGCATGTCGAGCTGCCGCTTATAGCTCTACCAAATCGGACCTGATCATATACGAAATTAAAAGGCTAAAAAATATACCAATCATGGGATAAGAAATGAGTAAGGAAATGAACATTTCATTCCCATGTCATTCCGTCATACCAATCACGCCAATCCCATGATTGGCATATTTATTGGAAAAGAATGACCATTCAATGAGAATTGCAAAACTCATCTCCATGGGATTAGCCATTCTATATCAAATGTAAGGTTTTTTCCATTCCCATATGTGTAGGAATTATTTTCTCAAAAAATAAAATTAACAAATAATAATAATAAATAGATTTATAATGTTTCCTATAAATTCTGATTAAATTATATTAAATAAAATAATTCTAAAAAATAAATTTAAATAAAAAATTTAAAACCTTATTTTTAGTTATTATTCATATTTTAATTAGATATATTAAATACTTATACAACAACAAGCCGTTAAAATCTCACTAAGTGGTGTCAGCTATATGGATCGCATTTCGCCGACTCACCATCGTGCTCGATCAAAACACACATCAACATTCAAATTAAATATGTAAAATTATTTTTTATTATTTTCTTCCAAGTTTTCTTAGGTATACCCTCACACTTTTGATTTCCGTTCTTATTCTAATGTTTCTAAGTCCCTCCTACGCACATGCACAAACCATCTTATATAAAAATAAAACTAAAAATGCATTTATAAATAATTTAAAATTATATTATTTATTTTATAAATCTATATATTATAAATTTATTCATAAATTAAATTATAATATAAAAAATTATATTTGACTACATATGTTTATAGGGGTTTATGTAATACTATATCTGTATTAGCTAATATATATGTGAATACACATTTCACTAATTTATTATATAATATATATGTTTATAAAAATATAATATATTTTTAAAAAAAATTAATTTTATTATTATCATAAATAAGAAAAATAACATTAATATGAATATTAATTTTTTATATAAAATAGTCGTAAATGATAATATAGAATGATATTGTCATTCCATTAAGGTCTAATTCTTTCTGCATATCAAACACATCAACGGAAAAACTGGTTTCATATCGTTCCCATATTCATTTCATTCTTCAACTCATTCCATTCCTATCAAATTTATTCCATTATACCAATCATGTCATTACTAATATATAGTATATCAACTGTAAAGCATACTCTCGTCATATTACAAATCGAACTCTAGAGAGCAGAGACTCGTGCTGATAACGTGTTATAAAACTAGAGGGAAAAGAGAGAATAGAGAAAATGTATTCTCTTGGTACGATTTCATTATAACTGAAATTCCTATTTATAAGAAACTTCTGATGGCACAAAATCGTAATAATACAATTATATAGAGGGCAAAATAGTCATTCACATACATTATTCTATTATTTCATAACAAATTTCTCCTCCAATTGCTCTCTAAAATAACTCACAGCTTTCCATCCCTCAAACAGCATGTAGGAAATTAATAGTTTTCAAGTCTCCTCCACTAATGCCAAGTCCAGCATGAAAATGAATTATTTTCCCCCATCCACTCAAATCATGCCAGGTAGTTCACTCCAAGAAAATGAAGAGTAACCAAATTGAAATTAACTCTCCCTTGCCATCCAATTCTCGGGCTTCAGCAGCAAAGAAAAAAATAAGAGTCCACTAATCCAAAGTCCAACCAGTAATATGTACGAAATAGATTGACTGCTTGAGAATGCGACATGAACAGATGTGTCAACGCTTGTGTCCTTATCAACATCTGTAAAAACTATATAATTGCTATTTGAAGCCAAATGCAGTGGGTAGTCACATCTCTACCCTCAAAACCATCTCTCCGCAATTTTATCCCTATAGTTATATACATGTCGTCGAGTAGCGTTCTGTCGGGTTTTTATTCTGTCGTTTTTTCCTGAGCAGCAGTCATATCACAGACAATATCTTTAGATGAAGCACTAAATTCGTTCATCTGTCAATTACCCTCAGCATATACAGCCAAAGTATGATTATGTTTTCCCTTATCACCATCAGGCCTTATACGGATCATGCAAGATGTAGATCCTGCTATGTTTGACTGCTATCTGAAAATGGCATTTGCACGCTTTAGTTCATGTACGTCTGACAACAGCCTGATCTGAATATCCTAAATTGCCTCTGTAACATTCTCCTCGCTTACATCTCAAAATCTTCAGCCTTCCTTCTTTTTTGTGTTTAGAAATGACCAATTCAAAATTATATATAATTGTCATTTTTTTACCCATGTGATAGCTTTTTTATCACTACCAAATAGTTCCTTGGTATAGAAAGCAGCACTGTAATCATGACAGTCTCCTCCAAAATCTTCAAATAACACCTGCAATATATTACGGTGTTAATAATTTTATAAGATAATCAATTCTAATTTATAGCATAAAAATTTCTAAGTTCTAAATTCTAATTCTTAAGATAATAAATTCTAATCTATAACAAAATAATTTTTAAGTTCTAACGTAATAGTAATAAATCTAATTTATAAGATAATCGATCTAATCTATAAAATAATAATTTCTACTAATATAATTTTTTTTCATAAATAAAATTAACTAATTCAAAAAAATAAAAAAATTCCCAGCCGGACCGCCGTCGGCAGACCGGCAATTGTGGCCGTGCTCGGTCACGGCCGACCGACTAGCTAGGTCGTGCATGGGCATGGCCGGCCGCAGATTGCGGCCGCGACCAAGCGTGGCCACAATCACCGGTACGCCGGCCAAAAAAAGGACTTTGTCGTCAGTCATTTCCTCGTCGAAAATCGCCTGGTAGAGAGGATTTTACAATTTTTTGAGGTTTTTGGAAAAATGACAGGGGAAAAATGGTTTAGGAGGGGCGCTACGTAGTAATAGGGGACGGTAAATAATAAATAGTAACAGCCATTTTTCAATTGATAAATCTTTAACCAGTTGCAGATTCTTGCATGCCTATTTACAGGGCCGGCCCTGACTAATGTCAAAGTGGGCATTGGCCATGGGCCCCCAAATATTTGGGGCCCCAAATTTATATCTACATTATATATATGTATGGATTTTTGTTAGTGAATTTTTATATCAATTAAAAAACCCACAAAAAAAATAGCTTTTATTGACCCAAGCCCAAACACATATAAGGAAATAATCATAAGCAATAAAAAAAAAAAAATCAAAGTCACTTTTTCTTTTGGTATTGGAAGCAACGGGAAAGGCGGAGAGAATATCAAAATAATGTTTCCATCAATATTCCTCATCTAACATTTCCACACAACTTCTCACGCTCAGATAAAGATGGTAGGGAAAGAAAAAAAAAAGCATAAAGGTGGTAGGCTAACATGACGACAAAGATACTTGGGAAGGAAGAATAATATAATTTCCGTCTCCTAAACACCATTGTACACTATACTCCTCCCCATCTTTATAGCACCGTGCTTTGCTTTTCTTTTTTGCTTACGTCTATTTCCAAATTGTACTTTCTAACGGGCGGAAATTTTTTTGAGTGTAGCGGATAAACAATTTGAAGCAACGACTTTGACGATTAAGCCTTTCTTTTCAGTCTCCAATTGATTCTTCTATTTATTCGCGAAAGTGAAACACCCAACCGAGAGACCTACTACAATTATTAGGGTTTTTTGGGTTTGAAGATCATTATCCAAGGCATAAATCAGGTTATATTTTTTAATTATATTTTATAATTTTGGTGTTTTTATTTTCATTGTTTGATTCTCAGACTCTTTTTTTATGTGTTTGTCTATTATTATTTTTCACTTTAATTAAATGTATATGTTGAAGAAAGGGCCCCTTACCCAATTTTTTCCATGGGCCCCAAAAATATCAGGGCCGGCCCTGCCTATTTAAACAGTCCACCGCGTGGACGTCGGATACATTACAGCAACTTCTACTCAGCCCTGTTCCCTTCGCCCCATATTATAGTTCAACTCTCAATTAAGCGCATTAATACGAATTTATTAGGAAACTCTCTCCAAAAATGTTCTCTCTAGCTTTCTACGTCGGGATTTTATCGGTCGCCGCCATTGCCTGCTGGCTGTACAACTACAAGTGGAGAAACCCAAGGTGCAACGGAGTCCTCCCGCCTGGCTCCATGGGCTGGCCTCTACTGGGAGAGACACTACAGTTCTTTGCATCCAACACGTCGTTCGATATTTCTCCCTTTGTCAAAAACAGGATGCAAAGGTGAAAAAAGAATCCGGGCAATGCAGCCGAAAATGATGGTATATTAAGTATCTTCCTGACTCGATTTTTTTTCAGATACGGGCCGATATTCAAGACGAGCTTGGTGGGGAAGCCCGTGATCGTGTCCACAGATGCGGATTTTAGTTATTTCATATTTCAACAGGAGGGGCAGTCATTTCAGAGCTGGTATCCAGATACATTCACCGAAATATTAGGGAAGCAGAATATGGGGTCGTTGCACGGGTTCATGCACAAGTACCTAAAGAATATGATACTCAATCTTTTCGGACCAGAAAGTCTGAAAAAGATGCTTCCGGAAGTCGAGCAGGCATCTAAAATGAGCTTAGGAAGATGGTCGGGTCAGTGTACAGTTGACGTGAAGGATGCAACCGCATAGGTTATCTACCAGGACTAAATTTAGTCCCTTTTTATTGATAATAATAATAATAATTATTATTATTATAATAATTCCATTTCCCTCTCAAATGCAACTTGCAAGTTTTTCGTGCAGATGGTTTTCGACCTGACAGCAAAGAAGCTGATCAGTTACGATTCGGAAAAGTCCCCAGAGAATCTAAGGGAGAACTTTGAGGCTTTCGTAAAGGGGCTAATCTCTTTCCCTCTGGACATTCCTGGCACAGCCTACCACAAATGCTTACAGGTACATTCTATTACACGTGTGTGTACGCGTTTCCATTATATTGTTATTAATGTACTAAAAATACATGATAATATAATTTACTGCTTTGATCATCAGGGAAGAAAAAGGGCAATGAAGATGCTGAAATCCATGCTGCAAGAAAGACGGGAGAGGCCACGAAAAATGCAAAGTGATTTCTTTGATTATGTTTTGAAAGAGCTTCAGACAGATGGTACGGTTGTCACAGAGGCGATTGCTCTGGATTTGATGTTTGCGTTGCTCTTTGCCAGCTTCGAGACAACCTCGCTGGCAATCACTCTGGCAGTTAAACTTCTTCTAGAGCATCCATTGGTTTTGAAAGAACTTAAGGTGAGGGAGAAATAAGTAACAATAACTACTACTCTTTGAACAACTAGATAAATGACGACGTTATTTAATATGATAGAAAATGTGTCTCAGGAAGAACACGAGGGAATTGTTAAGAGGAGGGAGAATCCGGATTCTGCGCTAACATGGAATGAGTACAAATCGATGAAGTTCACTTTTCAGGTGGGGTTCCACTCAACTTTCGGCCTTATGTTTGGAAATATCGTCGCTAACGAGACTAGAATATCGAAATCGCAGGTGATAAACGAAACAGTGAGACTGGCCAACATCGCTCCTGGGATTTTCAGAAAGACGCTGAGAGAAATCAGATTCAAAGGTTTGTATTGAACACGAAATTATGGAGTTCACTTGGAAGATTTGTTTCTATAGAGCATACCCTGACACTGTTTTTGTTGGTTCAGGTTATACAATCCCAGCTGGCTGGGCAGTCATGGTATGTCCTCCAGCTGTGCACTTAAACCCCACCAAATATAGAGATCCCCTTGAATTCAATCCATGGAGATGGGAGGCGAGTATTTGCACCAATATTAAAATTATGCAATTCATATATATTTATTATTTCCATGCCTGTTTCTAACCATATAATGACACTACTAAGTGCTTACAGGGGATAGACACAAATGGGGCATCAAGAAACTTCATGGCCTTTGGAGGAGGAATGAGATTCTGTGTAGGGACAGATTTCGCAAAGGTGCAAATGGCTGTATTTCTCCATTGTTTGACTACAAAATACAAGTAAGAATAACAAAAAAAGATCTTAAATTTTTAGAAACTGTGTGTAGAATATACTGGGTATGTTGTTGTTGTTGTTGTTGTGTGTAGAACTCATAGAGAGAGAGAGGTAACCTTTTCTCATCCTGCCAGGTGGAAAGCAGTCAAAGGAGGAGACATTCTCCGAACTCCCGGTTTGCAGTTCCCAAATGGGTTTCACATTCAAATCTCTGAAAACAGATGCGTTGAAGCAGCTGTTTCTATTCAAGGGAAGACATTATCCAATCACTAGAATGTTATTCAAGTTATTCTATGTGTTCCCCTCTCAAGTGGAGGTTTGTCGAGAATAAGATGAGGCGGTACACTACCAATAAAATCCAAATCGGAATAAGATAATGTTATGCTAGGTGTTTAAAACTACAAAATCAATCAACTCTCGTCCATATCTTGTCAATCTCTTCTGTTACGTTGAATGTATCATTCTCCATCTAGTTAATAAACAGATTTTGTGCCTTACACACGCATGATTTTCATCAGAAGCTGCTATGTACTGTCATTTGTGGAAGGGATGTGAAAGTATTAGTAGCAAATCCCTGAACTTGATCAAATGGTTGTTGAAAATCTGACCAAAGATCAAACATCCAACTTATGCAGAAGCATATTTTCACCTCAAGTCAAAAATCACACTGCATGTTTTATAGGATAATAATATATTCCCACAGACATCTTAATGTGATTATCTTACTCAGATTTTTGCTTATACCAGCGGATGCGGGGAGAAGCACGGGCCATGACTCACCCCTTCTCCACCCAAGCATGTTCAAAAAATAAAAATAAAATACAAAAATAGTTCGGTTGTACGACATTTTTAGAAAATAAAAGAAAAAGGAAAATAAGGTAAATCCTAAAACATAGGTATTTAATATAGGCAAACACGAGGAGACATATACATAGTGAAGAATTTGATTGTGTTCAAACAAGAAACCTTAGTGGCTGCTAGTGCTATTCAAGCAGGGGAGGACATAGATCAAATTTTTTAATCCAAAAAGAAAAAAAGAGATAGATGAAGAAAAATAAAGTTTACCATTCATTGAAAATAGCGCGAGCCGAGAAAAATCGTGAAAGCTCACTAGAACCATGTTGAATCAAACACTTCTCTTCATCTCTGAACTTCGAGTTATTAGAGAGGGTGCTGGTTAGAGAAGCAGTTTGGGCGAACGCATAGTAAGGAGAAGCAAAGCTTTAGGTCAATTAGCTTGAGAGATTTTACGGCGGCTCTGAATTTGGGGGTAATCGGAAAGTGATTGCGTCATATGGTTGGGAAGGGGATGCTAATAGTTTTGGCGGGCGCAGGTCGACCTGGGAAAATTCTTTGCACGTGAGTCCTTGGTTTCATACTAATTTCGGATTGATTCAATATAAATTGATACTTTTTTTTTTTCCAATAATATAAATTGATATGATAGTTGATACTAGTAATTTCGAATTCGTTTAATCAATCTCCGCTTAACGGTGGAGATTAATTGTTAAACGTTTCGACTATTGTAATTTTTTTAAATGAATATACATATTTATTATATATAATATTATATTCTAATATTATTTATTAAAGTATGATATTTTAATTCAGTTATATGGATATATGTTGAAAATTTATGATTGTTCAATTGTTCGAGAACCTAAGATCAAAACGACCAGTCTGGGCCAAGACAAGAACGAGAGGCTAGATAGAGGGAATCTTGATGAGTGACCTTAACCTCACGAGATCAACCAACAAGGTCAAAAGGTGTCCTAATGCGTCCCAACCGTCAGAACGGCAAGAGTCTCTCCCGACGTGACTTATATTGAGATCGGTGATGACACAACGTGCTCACACAAAATGTAGAGCACCCTCTTCTTATACTTTGAAAACTTCTAAATTTCGCAAGTAAATTTTTCTTTTCTCAAAAACATTTTAAAAACTCTGAGATACTCTACTAAAACCTCTTCTCATAGCTTTGCGGAAAACTCATTTCTTTTCAAAACTTAACTTAAACTAGCTCTTGAACTCTTATTGGAACTTGCTTCCCAACTCCTTACTCAACTTCTCACAACTATCTCATAGCTCATTCTCAAATAATAAAAGATGCTCATAAAACTTAAACGTAGTTCATAAATAATTCTCAAAACGAGTCTTGGAAATAATCTCAAACATAGTTCTTAAAAATTCATAACTAACTTTCAAAAGCATAATTAAATAATAGACCACCATCGCCATCGCGTCTGGCACCAACTTGATCAACCTGAAATGTGGGAATCAATAGGGGTGAGCATCCCACTACTCAATGAGGAAAATATACTACACAATATTCAATATAATAACAGATACCATAATATAAGCATGAAACATGAATAACTAAATGCACTGCTGGTCCCAACGGAAGGGTATTGCCCAACCAGGAATGTCTCAATGGAAGGGTCCTGTCCAACCAAAGAGGTCTATCTCAGATCTACTTCCCCCAACAGAAGAGTACTGCCCAACTGCCGGGAGGTCTGTCTCATCTATTTCTTCCGACAGAAGGGTACTGCCCAACTGCCGGAAGTACTGTCCCAAATTACTCACACTACATACCTCAACCATAATATGTGCAATTATAAGGAATATAGAACGCAGTATAGAATCCCAACATCGTAATGCAGTAGTGATTGACTAATGATATGCTCAAGGTTGAGGGCTCGACTCCTCGAAATCTACATATTTAGAGATTTACAAATTAATTATTTTTGCTTAATGAATTATTAGAAATAAATTCTTGATTGGTTTGATTAGTTATTAAATAAATTATTAAACTTGGCTTCTTGATTTCTCAATTTCTCTTCTTAACCAAAGCTCGACTTTTTCGATTTTTTTTCAAACTTTTTTTGGTTTCTTAAAATAATTAACTGACTTTCCCAGTTAATTAATTATCTTGGCTTGCTCACTTGATTTTCTTAACTTAGTTAATTAGCTTCGCTAATTAATCCTTCTTATTTCTAAGCTCATCTAAAGTTCTCGGATTTTTTAAAAAAAACTCAAGGCTCGAAAATTTGCTTTTCAACTTGGCTAAAGCTCGACTTTAAAATAAATAAATAAATTCTCTGCTCGAACACGGTTTGAATAGTTCCAATACAATTTAAAGACACAACTAAAACTATTTAGTCAGATATCGGCCACTTACGAGTAAATTCAGAAGATGGAAACTATTTCCAAACATAGAACTCAAACTACAAAAAACTGGATAAATCTTCTATCCGCAGTCAATTCATTTTGAACATAAATTTTAATGAAAAATACGTATTAAAGTGATTCTTTTTAGAAAACAATCTCAAAATAATATCTAAAACTTTTATTTAGACATAAAATACAGACAAGGGCTTTTAAAGGGTTAAACTTCAACCAACACAAGAGCTTTGCTGCTGCCAAAAATTTAAACATACAACTCATGGTCAGTCCCCGTATAATGAACATAATTTTTGATGTAGAAAATATTATTTTGGTTAGTGACCAGGTTGCCTGCGGTGTTGCTTGTCGGCTGTCGAGGAGGGCTTTAATTTAGTTATTTGATTTTGTCGTGTGTGTTTGTGTTTGTTTGTGTCTGTCCTTTTTTTATTTTTCTATTTGGGAGCATATGTTCTTCCTGTTGGAGGTATGTATTCTCCACATGTGAGAATTCTTTTAGTTTTTGTATTGTTGTCTTGTGATATTTAAACTGCCTTGAATAAACGTCATACTCCGACTATTTAATCACTTGTAATCATTGTTTTTTGACCCGAACTGGCTCGGCAGGTCGATCCGGAGCCGAAACCGGCCTAGGTGGGGTATTTGGACTGGATAACAAAGGACCCGGTCAAACCCGGCCCGGTCAACCCGGATAATTGACTCGGGTTGACCCGGTCGGGTAAACCCGGTTAACCCGACCTCTATAATTTTTTTTATGTAAAAAATAAAAACTATGTAAATATAATGATATAATAAATATTTATTATGAGATACAATATTATTAACACTTAAATGTTTGTATACAAAACATTTATTTTTGTTACTTTTATATATATTTATATTCAAAAATACTATATATATAATTTTAAAAATTTTAAAATTAATTGTCCGATTCAACAATTGACCCGGTGACCCTGTAACCAGAGACCTGCTCGGGTCGATTTCCGGGTCAGATTTAAAAACTATGCTTGTAATTATGTATTTCATAAATCTATTGTTTCCAAAAGAAAAAAGAAAAAAATATTTTAGATATGTTTTCTGGCAATCTGTCATCACTCTTTTTTAACAGTGTTTATATATTTATTGACTTTGTAAATATAACTCTTTCACAGTCACGAATTATCTAATAGAAATAGACTTTCCATTAAAATAAACGTTCATATTTTTTCACACCCAGTGCGGGCTGATGTATAATCGTACCGCCTTCTGCTTAACTTCATGGTCGGTCATGTAATTATATATTTCATTATTCGGTATTCTTTATTTCGTTTGCTAAATTCATTTCCAAAATTCCAACCAAACACTAACATAGCTCAAACACCTGTCCACAAGCACACAACAGAGCTACAAAAGGAAAAACTAAAACAACAGAAAAATATCTATGAGAAGATCACAAGGAATTCATCCACAGAGAATGAGCAAATGTAACTTTTTCCATTAATCCTTTAATTAAATAGAGGTGACTAAAAATATCAGGGACAAACATGGGTGTGGTTCAAAATACAAACTACAGCAACAAGAAATTATGAAATAATTATAATTCTAAATTGGAGTTCAACCATAAGAACAAGAACAGTTACATCTGCTGCTGAGGCAGGGCGGGCCGTTTTTCAACCATTTCATATTGTAGGACAAAGTTATCCTGCAAATGGCCATATATCAGCATGACTTAAACATCAACTTCCGTATTTCCTTATCACGGACACACATATACCGAAATTTCTATGGAAGAAAAAGGAATTGCAAACCTTTCTTGCTGTCTGCCAGGTATTGGGATCGAAACAAAAATAGCAGCCTCTCTCGTAACTATTTGTCTTTACAAGAGGTTCCATATTCTTCACTCTCGTAAACCATAGTCTTAGCTCTCTGTGGTAGAACCATCCTCTATTGTAACTGCAACGAATTACCAACACGAAAAATTACGAGTCAGAGGGTATGTCATGTTTCCAATCGATTTGAGATTATTATTTTCTTTCTTCCTTAATCTTTCTAATGAAACTTTCTGTTGACCTCTTCTCACAACCTCAAAATTCATAAATGCACCGTATGTCAGATAAAAACTAAAATAGAAACTAAAATTCCGCCTAAAATTTTTAACATTACCAAACTTGTGTTTGAAAATTTCAAAAAATCCCGCTTCTAGAAATTAATTAATCAATTTATGGTATGAAGTTGGCAAAATTAATAAATCCAGTGGGTGATTTTATTTGAGGTATGTGATGGTTATTTTTATTTTTGGTAGGAAATGTGTTATTAATAAATGTCCACATTTATGGCATGTGGGCGATTATTGAATGTCCGAACTTAAACGATATGAATTTTATTTGGTATGGA